TTTGAAGATCAATCGCAGTTGTAATGGAGTGCACTATTGGATGCGGCCGTCACGCGTCATTCCGAAGCTGCACGAATGACCTGTGTATACGAGTGACGCATTTCGTGCACGATGGCCATTGTCCCCTGCGTCAGAGACACTCCGACAGTCCAGCTAGTCGTATAGGGCACTGCGGTATGCCTGCCATGGAAAACATTTCTATCACCAAAAGCAAATCGGCTATCAGACCGTTACTCTGTTTATGCCGCTGGCGGAGCCAGTGACTCGTAAAACTCATAAATTGGCTGATTGAAAGCGAAATAACATTAACGTGTCATTAAATCAAACTAAACAATCTCTTATCATTCAAAGCAACAGTCACTAGAGGACATTTCACTGAACGTAAAATCAGTAAGTTGCCCCACTACATGCGCGACTATCGCAAGTTTTGTGGAAATTTACGACATGGCGTCACTTTCACGACCTGTGGATGTGTTTAACGAGCACCAGGTCGCGTGTCGCTCCGTGTGAACCCACCTTTATGGCTAAACTTCCGATTATGAGTCGTAAGTGAATTTAACTAGCGCATCATAGAGATAAGGATGTTTACAACACTTACAAACGATTATTACATGAGAGTGACTTACAATCGTGCACCTTAAGTTTAAGCACATATCTACTAGTAAGTATACATTTGGTTGACTCCGTCTGCTGCTAGTTGTCGCCTATTTCATATTCAACTACTCATTACTTTGCAGCTTTGTTTTGCATATTTTTGCATCTTGATATTACCATATAATTACTAAGAGAAGATATTGTTTGTTTGTTAGTAGGTCCACTTCAACTAACTTGAGGAGCTTCATTTTGATTATTAATTTCTACGCGGACATAGCCGGGGGCGTAAGGGAGTCAGACAAAAAGTCTGCTTCGCAAACGGGGGTACCTATAAGCTAAACCGTAGCGTATTACTCGTAGCTCGTAGCTCGTAGCTCGTAGCTCTCAGTGCTACGACTAAGATTAATGCTGGAGTATGACACGACGCGAGAAGTCGTCGAGCGGCGCTCGTTACTGCCGGGACGCAAGTTTGTGAGCTCGTATTGTAACATTAGTTGAAAGTAACAGGTTGTATGACGACGATATCTCGGATCCCCTTCATTGCCGTAATTAATGGCGTACTACAGCAACTAACCTAACTATTGAGGTTATACATGGCATTTCCTCTTGATAACAAATGAATAACATATTAGATATTAGAACATCCGCCGTGTCCGCCGTATCCGCCGGGGTATCCTGTAACCAGAACGTGTCCCAGCTGACGAGGTAGATCATCAAGTAACATTTTACGTAGCTCGTCGTCGAATCATAAGACGAAAGCACTTCTTTTTATTGTCAAGTAAAACTCGGAGATGCTCGTTTACCTAATTTTATTTCGGGGCTCGCAGTAAAAGTGGTAGGTTGATTGACACGTTACGACCTGTCCCCGGGCCCCTACTGGGGACTCCTGTTGCCACCTCCACATGGGAGGACTCCGCGCATTATTGTTCTTTTATTTACAAGAAGTAACGAGATATTCTTGAAAAGTTACATATTGTAGAGATGTCATTATTTTTTATCAGTTTCTCGTTGGCCCTGCATGTAATAAGTATATCTTACAAAATTAGGTTGAAATTAAAGATCATAATTATGAATTTGGAATAATATTAGTTTATCTCAGCACAACTCCAGACCATAAGCTAACTAAAAATTAGTAATAGTTATAAATAATAGTATCAAGCAACGAGCTGCAGATCAGCCATAGAGCATACTGCGTGGTGGGCAGCGCCGTAACTGAAGACGTCGCGCGTCGGCCGCGGTGACGTAAATAAGAAGTGCGAAGGGAAGAAACCTGACATCAGAACGTGATCGTGTTTATCATACATATAATACCTGTTAATACTGCGAGGTACTAGTCTATTGGATCTCGTTTATTCAAGTCTACGGAAAGAAATGTAACTGAGCAAATGCTAGGTATTTGATCTGCCGAGAAAATTTAAGGCATTACTAATTAGTTACAAAGTCTTTGCCAAGGATTGTCCCATATGGCGCTAACCGTGTTAAAAATAGTATTAAGTTGACGTTTACAATAAATATTACAACAACCAGAGATGGTGGTAACAATCGGTGGAACGCTGCGCGCATTTCTTGATTAAAATACACCTATTAATTTTTAAAATGTTTGATAAATGTAATTCGAAATATCTCTTTGATGTTATATTTAGACGAACATTTTAATTGCGGCGTGGTTGCGTCGTCCGCGGCCCGACAAACTGATCATCCTCGATATATTGTAGTCACGCTCGCGGCAACCGCGCCACAATCTATACACGCACATATTGTTTCCAACGGAAATTACTCGGGCGCAGGGTGACTTGGTGAGTACCATGCTCACATACTTATACATTTATACCTAGTATGACAAAACATGCACTAAATATTTGTGCTTGTGTGTATATTTGGCGACAAACGAGCAGACAGATCACCTGCTCTTAAGCAATCGCCACCGCCCAGGGATACCCGCCACATCAGAGGAGTTACTAGGACGGTGCTGCATTTTTGGAGTTAGGGGCTTTGAGGATTGGAGATAGGAAGGATTTGGCTTTCACTGATACGACGAAACACAACTCATGCGTTGTTTCGCGCTGGATTTCTGTGAGGTCGTGGTGTCACTCCGGTCGAGGCGACCCAGCCGTGCCAAAATAAGTGTGTCTCTTATGAGAGTGTTAAAGACTTCTTGTTGTAGACATTACATGAATTGGTAAAGAATATTTAAAGTTATGTCAGTTCAATAACTTTATTACAGCCAATGAATACATGGCCACGTTTAGAAGAGTGAGTGTGAAATAATTGTTACAATTGAGCGGCACTCTGCCAGAGTGGCAGTCGGCAGTCGGCAGTCGGCAGTCGGCAGCGCAGCGCTGCCTGGCAAATAAACTCGAGAGCTTACTTTTATGATGTTTGTGTAAATAAAAGCCCTTACTTGTGAATGTTACGAGTCGAGTGACGGAGTAAAACGATTTATTGTCAACTTTACTACATTACTTATTAGTATTACCTTATTCTACAGATATACGATTACAATTTCAAAAGACACTTGGACGCCTTCCCCTTACTTACATTCTCAGTAAATGTTCATTTGGTGAAAATTAAATTAACTAGTTTATGATACGAAACAATGCTTCTGAATGCTGACTACTGGATATGTCATGAAAAATAGGCAGATATTTTTTTCATTCATTTAAGATACTTTATTGTAGGATATAACAAATAAGGACATAATATTATATTTATCGTATAATATATAACAACAGCATAATAACGAAGAAGACGATGTCTGCTCTCCCTCGACAGTAATAAGTGCCGGGTGTCCTCGCTGTACGTCGTGTCGCGGTGCTGACTCGAACCGCGATCAAACACTCGCAGCGTCCCTTTAACCGCCCGCCGCCCGTCGCGCCACAATACACTTCATTTTATTCCCATCCCAATCCATTATCGCTTAATGCCTCACAAATATATTATCAAAGCGTCAAACTTTTGCCTTTCTTTGATTGACGGATTTTCCTCTTTACTTGAATATCAAATGCTGAAACCAACAAACAGCAGTACTAGTTGTGTTCACACACCAGGTATCTAGAGGTACATGGCTAGGTAGATTCTGGTCACACTGGAACAATTGCTCACTAACACAAAACTCAATTTAGCCGTGAATACCGCCCGTGTGTCTACTCGCATGACATTTCACTGAACACGGCCAGTTCAATATTCAGGCATGTCTTATTAAACGTTAACAATACCTGTTTGTGTGCCCAGTGTGCGTTGCGGTCGAACGTGGAAATAAAACGCGCCAGTATTTGTATACATGCGGCGTGCAGCGCGAGTGCGTGCGGGCGCGCTCTGCGTGCACTACATGCGATCGCGGTTTGGAAAAACGACGTCACAGCAAAGAGGCTACGCTGAATATTATTTCAGTAAAGGGTTGATGAAAATAATTTACATTAGACTAAACAAACACACAGCAAAGTAAACTGTGGAACAATAAGCAAAGATAAACCGTGAGGAACGAGGCTGCTAACAAATCGAGATTTGTGTACAAAGTACAACAATGGCAACAAAAATATTTGCATTGATTTATTTCCGCAAACAGTCTAAAGCCTTCCCGATCAGTCGCTGCGAGCCTGCGACCGGCCGTCTAATGGCTCTCCTGCAGGTCCTTTTGTCGGCCAGTCCGAGCTTGCAAATGAATGTGTCACTTGACGAGACAATTCTATCGTTTCAGTGACAATGCTCGCTCAGATTTTATTTGTAAAGCGGCCAGTCGTGCCCGGCGCGCTCCGCACCCAGTCCTCAGTGCTTTGTTATATTTTCGTTCAAAAACTCTGCAGTACTTTGCGTAGATATCTATTTATCTACAAGTACCAATCATCTTCTTCTTTTTGTTCTATATTATTTTATAAAAAAAAACATGAACGATGTAACTTTATTGCCAATTTTTGACACCTAATACCATCTTGAAAGCCGCTAAAACGATTATAGGGAAAAGATTTTGGTAAAAATTGCTGCCCATTTTTTGGCAAAGCTCGAGTTCAGCCCATTCCACTCCGGGAAAATGAGATAATAATAACGGCCTCTACCGAAACATTTGTTTAACTTGTATTAAATGTAACAAACAGAGGAATTCGTTTGTACTATATATTAATAACGAAACTGTGCGCTCACTGGTGTACGTACACCGTGTATTGTGCATATATTGCTGCCGCCGACATTACTTGCAGTCAAATTGTTTTACCTTCTAACTAATTACTGGGGAGCTGCGCCCCACTGGTGGGATTGTTGAACACCACTTTAGTTCTGGAAGAAGTTTGTTATTGTTTGTCTTAACATTGTTTCATTGATGTTGACATAAGAAACTTCATCACTAGCTCATTATATTTCCTCGGGGCCAATGTGTTGCACCATATTTGTAACAAATGTTATGTTATTGTCAGCAGAAGGGCAAGCAGATGGCACCGGCGGTCTCGGCGGGATCGAAGACGACGAGGAGGAGGACACCGGATGGTGGGGCAATTGCGTCAGCAACTGCCCGCCGCCCGTGCAGGACCTCTGTACTTCTAACCGATTTGACAACCTACACGTAAGTACCGACTGAGTATCATGATCTGAGTGACGTATGTCGTCCGTTATGATGTCATGTGATGTCAAAGATTAGGGACCACAGCAGCGTGTGGCGGAGCGAGTGTATGCATTATGTGACACATACCGGCACAGCACATGTACACCGCAACACGGCTAATTACGCTTCGAGTACTGGCTTAATGAATGCGCACAGGAATGATTCACACGATGACATTGATCTCATTGTATCGCTAAATTCCAAACTACGTGTAATGCTACAAAGCTCGTTTCAAATTATCTCGCAGTTTTTATTTGCAATAAAAGCGATGAAGTATAAAATGTTGAATATTTTCTGTATGATGAGCCAGTTTACGAGGCGTGTTTTCATCAGCATAATACTTTCAATCCATCAACGTATGACGATGAGCAGAGTTAACGTAAACAAGTATAAATGTATAATCCGGTACAGACAGGCGGACACCGACTGCTCAGCGGTAGAACATTTACACTTTAAATTAAATACATGTGGTCTTATAACGTTTTGCTTATATACACCAACACAGGCACTATGTTATTTAAATATAGTATAGGATTCGTATAATGTCTGTTGTACAATGTAACACCCACTTTTCACTATTTATGTTATGAGTCCCATGTAATATAGGCGGTGAACCTATTGCCATATACCGGGCACAATTCCAAACTCCGTGCTACTACTGAGATTTTTTTAAAAAACCAGTAATACTTTGCCCAACCCGGGAATCGAACCCGAGACCCCTTGCAACCACTTGGCCAACGAGGCACAACAAGAACTGCGGGTAGATAAGTTGTAGTAACGTTTACTAGTGAACCACACTGGAGGTGTCTGTATAATATAAGTGTATACGTACACACTCGCAAGTAGGAAGTTCGGCCACGGATTATCGCCTACTCCATATACATTTATGTGGTAGCGGGAACCATTGACCGACATCTTGATTGCTCCTCGACTAATAACTTAAATGCTACAGGACACAGTCTCCTCCACTATATGACTATAGAGCTGGTAATCGTGTTGATACTCAATGGTAATTCACACATACGTCTGTAACGGTCTACGGTGACTTGAGTGGATCTGTCATTGACTGTAAACTATTCAATAATAGAGATAGACAATGAAACGATAGACGGGTGTACAGGAGTTAGACAGCTTTACTAACAATTTGAAGTCTTGTTATTCGCGCTCGCGCTACCTATTGGCGACTTACACGCGCCACTCAAACTATCAAGCAGCTATCCCAATTGAACACTAGAACAATAATGTTAATGGCTGTCAGAGTTTCACAGACGATAAATTTCTTTTGGGGGCCTCCGGTTGACTGGCTGCGTAAATATTTATTTGAAATTAAATGGAGAGCACTCGTTGCCCGCGACTTCTGCTGCGACTGCCGGTAGGCACACGCGAGGTCCACGCAGGGCCCACGAGAGGTCCACGCAGGGCCCACGAGAGGTCCACGCAGGGCCCACGAGAGGTCCACGCAGGGCCCACGAGAGGTCCACGCAGGGTTCACGCTCGCCGGCCGTCGCGTGCTGCGTACGATGGGGCAATGTGCCGTGATTAATGTTCCCGGTGAGATGCGCTGTACAGACATCCACGTGAGTTGTGCTGTTCTCTAAAAATATTCGCGCCATTTTACAAATACATCATACAGTAACGGTAAAATTGGGGGAACATGGCGTTTTCATCTTCATTGAACGTGATTTGGTGACATTTGTGCAATCTTAACAGTGACTAAAATACTATGTCTCTAGTGACGTCATCACTGCACCTAGCGGCCAAGTCTGTCTCGTAACCCAGAACTGATCACCTTACCATAACCGAGATTTTAGTATTCGTTTTAAATTCTGTTAAATATAGTAAAAATTCGAATCAGACATACGGTCTTACGGACAAACAAACAAATGGTACTCAACTTGGGCTATAAAGCTTGCAATAATGTGGAGGAGTGCGAGGGCCGCGGGCCGCGGTACCGGGCGTATCTTTTACGGCGCCAGTAAATCACGCTCAGGTGGCTCGCACCACTCGCACAGAAATAGCTGATCACGTTGCCCTCACGTCGCATTCACGTCACCCTCACGTAGTCCTGGCTTAGCCCTTGTGTAGCCATCACATAGTCCTCGCGTCGCCGTACTCTACTGAGTCTCACTGACCGCCTGCCATTCCATGAAGAAGTAGTTGCAAGTACTTTGTACTGTGTACATACAATATTTTGAGATAACCTGCTACTCTTTCTCAACCGGCGCTCTGAAGCACTTGAAACTTGTGCTGGTGCTGGAGACCGCATCAAAAAATAATAAAAATTGACAATGAACTAATGAGAAAGTTGCGAATGAGTAATGACTATGAAATATGAGTAAGTGACATATTGGCACGGATACAACCAGGCACAACAAATAAATTACGTAGTAACGTGCTCAATAACCTGGAGAACTTTGCATAAACCTGTACAATATTCCTGAACCGTCACACACCACTTGCTATTAATCTTGATGTATTACTTCTGTTCTTACTGATTCTATTTATAGAATAAAAACGACTGTGGTGCACTTTTGTAACAAACAATTTGACTGCCAAACACGTTGTCGGTACTTATTCATGTGTTACGTTTGACGACATGGTATTGAATAATCTTTAATTGAAAAACATACAATGTAGGGAAAATGTACCGTTTTAATTAAGAGAAAACGAATAAATGTAAGGACAGCATTGTGCAGGTCTCACTGCCAGTGACAATTAAATGGGAATCAATTGGGAGGCGCAATGTATCAGGTGTCGCAGTACTAATGAATCCGGCGAGCCTTCGTTTGTCACTCGAGACGAATCTCACGCCGCGATAATTGCGCGCACGTGACACACACACTCGCAACCGCTCACACGGACGACACACCATTTTACACCGATTGATTTATGCTGCAGGATATTGAGATATACCTGTGGTACCTGCGCTTGCACTGTATCTAAGTGTGTTCGTGGCTAAGGATGTAACAATAATTCGTTTTATAATGATAACACCAACATAAACATTAATTCTGTATCATCCCCCTGGCTATGTCGACGAGTATACAGGCGTGTGAGCAGTCCTCAGGCCGGCCGTGGCCGTAAGCTTTAATGAAAAATGTTCTGTTGACATCCCAATAGTCTGCCGCCGAGTTCCAGGCAAACCCAGGGGTTTGCTGGCAGATACCAGGATACCTGCCGACAGTTACATGAACAGGTATCGAGTAGATTATCTTATCACCAAGGGAGAGCAAACGTGTTTGTAACATGTTCATAATCTCTTCTTACTGAGAGATAGGTGTAATCCGTAAAACCATTTTTCTTTAACATACCAAATATTACGGCAGATTTAACAATGTCAACTCAAATGATCGTAATCGTTTGTAGTGCAATACAGACGTGTGCACTGTGCAGCGCCAGACTCTCACTAGTTCGCTAAACATCAGTTATCATGGATCCGATCGAGAAGTTATTGTCACTCACTACAAATTCCGTTTCCACGCATAAAATTAGCCCTCCTCCCCTCCACCTCCACCTCCTGCACCCCACGCACCGTTCGCCGTACTCCGAAGCAGCTGCCGGCGCCTCGCTCTTTGTCGTATCTACTAATCTGTCAGCTTACATCGAGACACGACAACTTTCACGACAATTAAACAATTACTTACGACTTGTCACTCACTGAAACAGATAACTACGACGGATTGCTTACATTAGGACTCAGGTACTACGGGTACTCCCGAGCAAACGAAAAGAAATAGAAATAGGTAAGCAAGTCAGTTCGTGTGTATTGTCGAACAAAGCGAATTGGGTCATGGTGTCAGAAAGCGGCGGTCTTGTCACCATGTTCCGAGGCCGGATCTTTACAAAACACAAACAATGACGTTTTGAATTACAACAACACAATGTAACGAAGCGTTGGAGAACAATCGATCTGTGCGTATCATTTGTTTGGACATGTACTGAAGCCTGGACAAACAAGGAAAGTAATTTTATTAGTCGAGAAACAAGAAAAAATTTGCCATATATATCACCATGGATTGGTAAAGTCGGCTTTAGCACAGCAGCAGAGCCGCGCGCTGTGCCGGTGGTCGGGCTTAGGTTCGGCGCACCGCATGACGACGCGACGCGACCAGAATATGTTGCAGCCAGCCCGCTTTGTGTGTTTGCTTCAGTAAACCGCGCGCCCGAACCTTGCCGCTACGAGATTTAGGAACGAAATATTAAAATATAACGAAATATGTTACACATTTTGAGGGGGATTTTAGTTCTGCTCGTCTGTACTTAAATCTCAGTCACAGTAACTTTCAAATGTAGCAAAATACTGAAATAAGCAGTTTCTGTTAATAAAGACAATATATAATATTAGTTCCCGTGAGACATTAAATGTAATCCTGTAGCTTATCATGTGAGTATTGCCGCAAGCGATCAGCAGTTTCATGAGCACTGTCCGTAACAACCCGCAGTAAATGACGCAGTTCGATGTCGTGATGTTGCCACTGAGCGACTGAGTGACTTAGTGACCTGTACTTGTTATAGAATTACTACTTCAATTCTGTCATGTCAGTAGACATGGGTCTTATGGTTTGAAGCATGACTACTGAGCAGAGGATCCTGATTCATTTCCCAGATTGGTCGAAGTATAATTGATATTTTATCAGTAACAGTGTTTGATGCCAGAGAATAAGAACCCGATACTTGCAAACTTATGTATTCGAATAAAATAGAAAATTGCACATGTCTTTGTTCGTCTCCGCGTGACGATGTAATTGTGTGACACAGTTGTTCAGTGGAGCACGACTGCTGGGGTTTGTGCTGCTTATCAATCAGATGCATACTCCGGAACACGAGCATTACATTTATACGTATACATACTTTAAGGAAATTTAAATGACAGGCTGTACGAGGTATTCGTGACGACTCCGTCTATAAAGTCGGCGACGATAGTTATAGGTGCTACTATTTAAAATTAGACCATGCCAATT